TTAATATCTGGAATACTTCTAGAGTTTGTTATTAGCTGGATTGAAGTAGTAAGCCATCTTTTAGACGACTTGTTTATATTTTCAAGATCTGCATTTAATGTTGTTTCTAGTTCTGCTGTTGATGCTGATGCATATGATAGCGATGTGTCATTAGCGAATAGCCTAGATATACTAAGTAAATTATCAGCAATATCATTTATATATATTACAAACAACAAGGGGCCCAATACGCTACCTTGAGGGACACCAGCTCTCAAATTTCTTGAAGTAGAATAGTTATTATCAAGAAGTACTTTTTGTTGTCTATTTGTAATATAACTTTCTAGTAATTTCCCTTTAAATCCATTCTCCTTCTGTTTTAATTTAAGTCCCTTGTGCTATACTCTATTAAATGCCTTTTAAATGTCACAAAAAAATTAAACATGCATAAGGTTTTTTTTCAAGTGAATAGCAAATAGTATGGTAAATGTCAATAGGTTGATGAATTGTGGAATGATTTGGCATAAAACTTGATTGGAAAGTGTAAACAAATGAGTTATCTACAAAGTACTTATGGACATATTTAAAATCAACTCTCTCAAATATTTTAATGACACATGATAATGGCGAGTTTGGTCAATAGTTTGACACTAAATGTCGATCACCTTTTATGAAAAATAGTAAATTAATAGCATGTTTCCAGTATTCCGGAAAATTGATATGCTCAATGACATGTTGAATAATAAAGTTAAAAACCTAGCAATGGAAACGGCAGTACTTTTCAGTAGTGTATGACTTAATGTATCATGCCCGGACGCTTTCCCTAGTTTAAGAGTTTTTCAATTATCACTTACCTTTTCATTTGTGAAGATAATTGATTCCAGTATGGCAGCGGTTCTGGATTCAATTATTGGTATATGTGTTTCAGTATCATCTATATCTGATATTGAACAAATATATTTGCTAATATATCCACTTATATTGATAGCAGCAGTTTGTAGATTAGTAGGGTTTAACAACGGAGGAATAGTCTGTGATTGGTCGGATTGTTTAATTAAACGTCGCATGAGTCTCCAATATGACTTTGGATCGGTATTGTTATAAGGATCAATCATATCATTAACATTTTCATATAATGTTTCCCTTGCATATTTTTGATGATATTAACTTTATTTCTTTGACGTTTTAGTTCTGCTAATACATCAGGGTGTTTATACTTTCTTTTTGAAACTTTCGTGAACTTTATTTCGAATTCTTATTTCCCTGCGTAAATCTGATGACATCAACGGCTTGTCATTTGAACTTATGGTCACAACTATGGTTGGAATACATGCTTTTAACATTGATTATAAAGTAGTTTTAAATTGTTCACATTTGTTATTAATCGTGTCAGAGTTATGAAATAAATTTTCCTAAACATAGTTATTAATTCTCAAAATAAGTTCATCATAATTTGCAGTTTATAAAGCCATATTTCTTGTTTAAATGATTTTGGGTTCGTATTAGAGCTTTCAATAACTACAGCACATGCATTATGATCACTTATATCTCTATGGACGTTTATAACAAACGAGTCAATAATCTAATATTCTCACTTATAATGATAGGGTTAAGTAGACTATTTCTAGTGGTTCCAAAACGTGTGGGTTCTGTTATGACATTTGTCAGGCCATATCCCATTATAATCTGGTGTAAACCATGTTGATCTGGTAGTAATAGCATATCTGCATTTATATCTCCTACTATTATCACATACTGTGTATATTCGAGTGCTTTCTCTACAGAGTATCTTAAATAGATTCAAAATGGACTGATAACACCTTTCGTTCTATATAATGTAGAAACAAGTAATTGTCGTCCCGGTAAATCTACTTGTATCCATATACTCTCAATATTTCCAAATTCTAAATCTTCTCAACGATTACATTTAAAACAATCTGATGCATACACTAAAATACCACCTCCAAATGAATTTCTGTCTTTTCTAAAGGGATAAGTATAACCAGATAGTGCTATATCATCTAAAACTGTCATATCTTGGTGAGATTCAGTTATACATATAAGGTTGAATTCATTAGCAATATCTTCTACATACCCAATCGAATTTCTAAAACTTCGCGAATTTAGATGAAATATAGAGAGTTCATTATCATTGGGGCCAAGGTTTATCTGTATATCCATAAATATAATGAGGAGTAAATTTAAGATAAGAGTGAAATTTAGATTTTGGAATTATGATTGCAGTAAAATAGAAAGGGTATTGCAAAACATGCCTTACTGCTTGCTAACAATAATTCTATGAACAAGTTATATTCGTCATTGATAAAAGTCTTACCAAACTTACAGTGCATGCCTCATGAGAGAAAAAAACATGTGTATGCTTTAGTGTAAAAGATACTGATCAAGACCCTATGGCAAACCGCTGATACGTCGCCTGCTAGCCGGCGGCATACATGTAGTCTACCATAGATACCCCACCAGCATCCTCCATTGCAGAACAAGTACAGATTACAAACAATATTTATTTAAGCAATAAACTGCATAGATGTGGCAGACCAACTGGTAAAACTGCCACATGTGTCACAGACAAACTGAATGGTGCGGGCTAGCAGTTTGTTGCTTATATTTATATTTTCGTAATGATAATTCGCAAAAAATGATTTATGTCTTTTCCAACTTTCAGATTTCCCGCTTATTACCGTCAGGTCAGGTCAATATCTAGAACGGCACAAAGATAACAGCTGACGTCACGATCTATTTCCCATACAAAATTGAAAAGCCTCCGCAACTTTCGTTAATAATTCATTTGTTTTTAATTTACATATATATATCATATTCTCAATACATAAAATAGTAACAAATAACATTTTGTAAGTTACTAATCAAGTGTCGTAAAACATTTTCCGATTTTATTGCTACCTATATCCGGCGCACGCACTCAACGGAAGCCCGCAGTTATCAGGTTATATTTGCAGTCCGGCAGGTTGTTGATGTTGATCGGTCAACCGGAGAAGGTTGAATTGGTGAAAAATCCAGGCGTAAAATTGTTTGTTGATCTCACAGACACTTGAGACAGGCAGCTGGTGTTCGGGATCAAAGCAGAAGATACCGATAAGTTCGGTAGTGACACCGTTAAGTCACTCGGAGGTGCGAAGACCAATTTCAGTTATAGTCTCATAAGATGAAGCTGCTATTGGCAGTACTTTAGTAGTAATATAGTATCCCAGCATCCATACATGTTTGCCTGCTGGCATTTAAAAAGTTGGATTTGATAGATAGATAATTAAAATACCTAGAAACAAACTTAATGAGCGTTACCAGATCAATCAAATACATGTGGTAAACATAACATACAGAATTTGTCAATTTCGTGTACATCTGTCATGTATGGAGAGTGAGGAAAGATAATGCTCAAATTTACATGCATCATATGTCAATTATAGTATACAGCTTTATAATATTTTAAATTATTTATGTTAACGTTACTAAATAAGTTTGTTTTTTCTTCTAACACAAAAGGATGGATTGGTACAGGCTAGATTGCTTCGCTTACTTTATATAGAGCTTCAATTATTAGCTCAGTGGTTTATTCTAAATTATGTGAGGACAGAACGCAACAAAGCAATACCTTACAGTCATATTGTAAATTGAGCTAATAACATGTAGACATAAAAAATCAACAAGGCAAAATATAAACATTTCTTGATACTTTGATTATTGTGCTACAAAAAAGGAACAAAAAAATATCAAACTGGAGATGTTTTACACATCAAGACAATGAGACAAACTGAGTAATGATTAAGAAAATATTAACCTCGTTCACTACAGTACTTAGTTTTGGTCCTTTATTTGTAAATTTTTTGTATTATATACCGACCAAGTTCATTGAAATTAGCATAATACCTTTCTTTGAAAATATACTGGTCCAGAAGGAGTTACCTCATATTGGGTTACTCCAGGTGATATAAGGGTAAAACAAACCCACATATATTAGCTGCCGTATGTAACAATACAAAGGTGCGACCAACGGTATTACATAGTATAACTTAATTTAATGAATTAGTTTGCGGTTTTTAACTATAAAAATCATGGTGTGAGCTATATAACAAATGGTCCGTTGTTGCACTATTACCTAGCACCAGTCCCTGGTCTCTGCCAAGCATTCTCGACTCTTTGTGGAATATATTCCATAATGTCCCCAGTTGTCCCCGTTCTAAGTAAGTGCCCATTCTACATTCTACGAATTTTTGAGATTTTGAATAAAATATCTAATAACTCTTCATTTTTAGTTTTGCTTTCAGTTCCCTTTTAATTTACATATCTCAATTAAGTGAGTTGAATAAAATTGGGTTAGGAATTGTGAATTTGGTTTTGGATAGTTTAAGACTTTATGAACTCAATATAGCATATATCGTATAATAAAGTTGTTGTCCTCATAATCACACATCTGTATGACACTTCAATGAGAATAATAAATAAGGCAAAAGATAACAATGATAGTTCTTTGGAACAGCTTTATTAATTGAAATTTTACAGAGATTATCAAAATACATACTGAAACAATTTGAACTCTTCAGCCACACGAAAGATTTGGTATGTTTTGGTTAAATTACAAAGCTATTGGAATAAACTTCAATATTTGAGGCAGTCTAATTGAAGATAAAATGATGAAAAGAATTGTGACATTTCGTACAATTAATACATTTTTGGAAACTTAAAACTCTATAATCCATAAAAAAAAATCTGAATATAATCTTACATTAGAGAAAAGAACTGTACATTATTTCTCAAGGGCAGAAAGAAACGGATTGCTATGAATTGGTTACACAAGGATATATTGTCCACTTACAACTAAATTAACGAATATATATACTTTTCTCAAATGCGCGTTAATGTCCTCAAATTCGATGACAAAAATAAAGATAATTCTAGATAACAACATTGCCTACTTAACATGCATATCCTGGTAAAGCAGATTGAATTTCAGTTTGCACAAAAGAAGTATTTAAAGTGTGATATACGTTATCTGAAGTTTTAAGTTCAAAATGATAAAAATATATATAATATCACAGTTCTGTGCATGCAGAGTGTTATGAACCCTTTCGAATCCGGGAGGGGTTATTGAGAAATATATTTAACGGCATTGAGAGTTTCGGAGGAGGGGGTCGATTGGGAGGGTTGTCGGCGGGTCGTTCGGTACGCTATTCCGGAAGGTCAGAAAGAATCCTCATTTCTTTGAGGAATCATCACATGCACCAATACCCTAAAATAAAATAAATTAATTAATGTTTTTGTAACGAAAGCTAAAAAATAAAAGTCATAAAATATTTAATTTTGGTTTACAATATCGGCGAACTACTGTTATAAGTGAGAAAATGAAATATGAAGTTGATAGTTCCAAAAGAGTTTTGTAGTTGTCGTATTTCAGGGTAATATAAACCATATCAGACTTACATCTGGTAAATCTCCAGTGTAAGCTGGGAGGGTTGCGCTGGTACCTGCATTCCTCCTCAGTCTCCGCTTCCGATTTTGCTGCTACAATAAAAAAAATACAGCAATGAGTTTAATCATTTTCGTTTTATCTTAATAATTCTTTTGGTAAATGATATATTTATAAGTATAATATTTCAACGTGAACAATTGCTAATAATAACACAACAATATAACGCAGACTCGAAAACTCCCTTTTAAATCGAAAAAACTGCAAGTTTGCGATAGCTGTATGTTAACCTAGTAACAATTCATGTTATCCCGAAACTTCATAGAAACCAGAAATAACAAACAAAACAAATAGAATTCGAGTTGTAACCATAAATAAAATCGAGACGATCAGATGCAGGTATTTTGGATTCTGAAACATGTCTCTTTGAATTTATTGGAGGACTTGACTATAAAACAGCATTTTTGATGAAGTCAAAACGGTTCTTAACTTAAAAAATAGTTAAAAACATCAATCGTGCGGGAAACTTTCTTCAATGAGAAAAAAATACACCATGGAGAGTTTAACAAAAGCATTGAAATATGGTTTACTGGTTGTATCAGTAAGGACAACGCATATCATACTGATACAATGGAAAATCAGAGAGCAAATTAGTATAGCTATATGTCAAAATATGAAATATCATCACGGACGTATTTTGTTAAAAATATTAAGATTTGGAAAATATACTTGCACTTATAAGTGATCATATAAGCATTCGACAGGCTTAAATGAATGGTTAATCTTGCCAATTGTTTTTATAAATTTTGCATTTTTAATGTTGGACACATTCTAAAATCATCGAAACCACTATACTAGTTAATCAAACGATTTTTTTTAGTTGATGCTGTTGCTGGGTTAGTATAAGACACGGACCGACATTATCGTTAATAAAAACTTACAGCGATACGCTCGGCATAGTTGGACTGGTTATCTTCCAGCTTCTGAATAAGTTCCATTAACCTCTTCTCAGTTCTCGTCAGGATCTATCAGACAACGAGACAAACTGAATGTCGTAACATAACATAATAACAACACCCACAAATTGTTAAATACATTTCGTTTAACTACAGATAGCATGGAATTGATTCAATTGTCATTTACAGATATATGTGAATACTTTCGGGCTGAAATATGTAAATTAATGTATTATATTACTTCGCAGAAAACTCAAACATATATCAATTTGTAAAAGCTCTTTTTTTTCTTGAGATGAATACTGTTTGCTCGATTGCAATGCTTGGAAATAGCTAAAGTTCGTTTTCATTATATTTTTGTTTTCTATTGCTAAACATGAACTTCTTGCTATATATAAAAAAAAATTAAAGCCTCAAATTAAAAAGCAAGAACTCAAAATCTTATAAGAGGCACTGAAAAGAAGTTGGGATAGACTTAAATATATGAAAGAAATCAGGAATCTTAAAAAAACCCGACGCGAAACCATTTGCTCCAGATAAATGTAATCATATGCCTTTTACATACACACTTCAACAGAAAAAATAAATTGTACGTACCATCTTTCGCTTCTTCATTGGCACATTAACTCGTTTCGTTGCCTAAAATAGTTGAATTGATAAGTAACAGTATGAGTAAAAATTTGTTGGGGAGATAACCACTCAGCTTCAAAAAATTTCAAAACAATATATCGAAATCAGCGGCACAATAATTGGAATACTTTGGATTATATCATTTTAAAATTTGGGAGCATACAATAATAAAACTTGGAATAAAAATCAAAGATTTTGACGATTTGAAGATGGTTTTTATTCCTTACAAATTTCTCATAGTCCAGTTAAGTCGTGTTTTTTTAAATTTTACTATCTATTGTATTTAAGTGATAAATGTAATATATAGGTTTCTCTGATCATTTGTTCAATATACGTGAACATAGTGTTTTGACAAGTAAGGATAAAAACATGTGACCATCAAGTGATATGGCTATATAATAATTCCTAACCTGTAATTTTTATTAAGCGAGGTAAATTAATACATTGTTAAAATTTTGATATACATTACCGCACCTGTGCTGGTGTTATATATTCACTGATGGCGCCATCGATACAATCGTTAATTTCGGGATCACCATTTTTCTTCTTAATTGAAAGACTACGACATTTTCCTGTCTTGTCATAATCGTCCAGACAATATTGCTCACTGCTATCCGATTCCTGCCCAACAACATTGACGAAGACGACTCTGAAAATGAAATCAAAATAATGAACTATTATAGCCATTTTCTTCTATGATGCTATTATCAAAAATGAAAATATGCAGATATTAGATTAATTACAGCATTGACAGTCACGTTATTTTGTTGTGAAATAATAGAGGTTGTGTGTTGTACGATGAGTACGTAATTAACTAAATCTAGAAAACTCTGTAAGACACGTATGCCCGTTCCAACACTAAAGAACTGTAACAAGATCACATAGGTCATGTTACAAAAAGCAGAGTAACATAATTTACTCCTAGCGGAGCCAGTACATTTGAAGTAACATTTACATGCCGGAAACCTTAACCAAGGTCACAGACGTCAATGTCACAAAAATACAGGTATACATATTTTATCTGTAAAGGGAGATAAGTTCATGAATTCACATGACCTAAGCTGCAGCACACTTTGAATAACTGACCTTAACTCAAAAGCTTAACCGGCAAGATGTATTTTGAAAATGTATAATTACGGACAGTGGTACGAAATACTGCTCCACGCCATTCATGCATAACGATAACTCTTACTGCTTTCCTCACAATAACACTGACATATCAATACAGATTTGGATAACAATGTGGACGGGAATGTTAGTGTAGGGTTTCATTGACATTTTAAATATACCACAACAACACCAAATATATTTATATAATGACGTCATCATTGCTTTATGGCAATATGCAATACTGATTCCGCACAAGTCACCTTCGTCATATTTTTTAACATTTGTGTTTCACCTCTTAATTTATATGCCATGTAAAAAATGATAATATTAACATGGTTGTTTAATTTCATTAATCGATACTTGATAAACTGTACCCTATTTCCTTGTCGTGGAAGTATTTGTTTCCAGAGCTGGCTGTAAGCGCTTCGAATGATGTCTCAGAGTCAAATTGATCAGTGCTGCTGTATTGGATTTTTAATTCGACATTTTCACCACTTGGAACACAGAAACCCATCACAAACGTCTTTCTGCCAACGAGATATAAAAGATACTTAAAATGTTTGTAATTAAAAAACCCCATAAAAAGTGAATGTTGTTTAATATAGCTAACTACATGTAATATTTTCTTTTCTTTTTCTACAAATAGAAAACATCATTCATTCCTTGAAACAAGCCATCAGTCAATATTCCGCAAGGTTCAAGAAAATGATTTAAGGATTGTACCAGATCATAAATTCGTATGTATAGATTGAAAACCGAAGTGCACTCTGAATAAACCGCAATGCTAAGCGGTATATGCAAAGAGTGACCTTCAAGTTTCGGTCTATACATCGATAGAATGTTTTTATCTGGTACAATCCTTCTGATTTCATTCCAAAATTATAAAGAAAAACTGTTATTGCATATGTGTTATTCTTACTTACAACAAAAACAGTAAAGCATTGTATTGCGTAATGATGTTTACGTTAATCAATCAAATGCCGTGTTTAATACTCTGTACGCGTGCTATTACGCGCCAATCTAGAAGAGCAAGAACTTTCAACAGGCTCATTTACAGGTACTCTCTCAAATGACGACGTTCATAAGGCCATGTATAGATCTTTACTAGACGTCGGAAATATGTCCATGACATCTGTTCTTAAATTGAGTAGAAAACTATTTTTTCGATATCAAAAGTCATTGAAAACAATATCAGGAAAATAACATAATTGGACAATGACAAATACTGAGTTACCCTTGATTAGCATCATAAGTCTTAACATTGACGGCTGAGGCGAAATCGAAGTTATCATAGCGAACAAGATAGAGGTAGTCAGGATTGTTGGCGAGGACGTTGAATGGAGTACTCTTTTCCACGTCATCTAATGTCACTTGAGTATCTTCATGGACCCGAAATATGTCCGCAGCCCTGTTTGTTTCCACCTGTAGGATTTGTAAATGTATTAATCGTCTGGTAAATACGTTCAAATAAACATATCATATTTGCGAAAAAGAAAAATTACTCTGAAAATATTAAGGTAATAGGACTGTGTCAACATTTCTCTGTAGAGTGTCTTCAAATTTTGTAGTTATATTGCTTTGAAGTAAAGAAAATTTTCTGCCACCAAAAAAATATAGGTTGACAGAATTTTAAGGATTTTAAATGGAAATTTAGGTAAAAAGGAGTGAATTTTGAAAAAAATGAAAGACACAATCTTTTGCAAAATAATGTCAATAAAAATGATACTGCCATAGATTAATATTGCATTAATGTATATCAGTTTAATCAATGCTGAAATTGTGTAAAATTAATTATCTTTAAACGATTAAAAAGTGACATTTTATAATAAAACCATTTACACATAGTAATTGCATGTAAGAGTTATCGTTCTTGAAAAACTTCACAGTAGTGAAATAGGTAGCCGGTTTCCTGAAGTACAGACAAATGGACACATTTGACTCATTGATAAAACACAACTGAATGAATGCCTGGATTCCTTTGAAATTCCTTTATATTGAGAGAACACACTGTTCTGTCAATAATAAATATACAATATTCATTAGTTTGATATTAAACATTAGAATATGCGGAAATTGTGATACTGTCTCCCTACATTGGATTTTCAACTACGGATGTACTACCTATTTCTGTTTATCAATACACTCCTATGACCTTAAGTAATTCTTTATTGTGTCACTAATCTTGCTTAATGTAATAACGCAGTTGTAGGTCTTTATTCAGCAATACACTGGTCATATTTGGTTGATTTACGCGTATATATCTAGTGCAATTGACAATATGTATGATACATCAATTATATGATATAATTATGTATTTATTATGCATATATCAAAAAGAGTACCGCGGGGCGGAACAAAATACGCCCGTCAAATGCCATATAGTGTTATATACTTTCTTACATTGAAATAAGATTTGCATCATTCTAAGAGTAGTTAGCTGACATGCTATAAAAATGTAGGACAAAAACAAATACTCAAATGAACAAAAAGCAATAACTTTTGCAAAAATCGTCCAATCAAATTCTTTTAAGGGAGACACAACTTCATATCATGATTATAATGCATACCAAGTTTCAAAGAGATCCGTTGAAAAATGTAGGAGAAAATCTCCGGACAAAAAATCAAATACTGAAATGAACAAAGGGCAATAACTTTTGGAAGAAATGTCGAATCAAAATTCTTTTAATGGAGACATAATTTCATATCATGATTATAATATATCCCATGTTTCAAAGAGATCGGTCGAAAAATGTTGGAGAAGATTGCCGGACAAACAAAAGTCTACGCCGAACGGACGGACGGATGGACGACCCCATACCATAATACTACCGTCAAATTTGACAGCCGTATAAAAATAAGCCTGGCTTGTACCATTGCATACTCTTCGTCACAGACGGCATAGTTATCCCACTTTTCCGAGCAAGTATCTGTGACTTGGAACGGTGTATTTCTCAGAACCGTCATCGCTGAGTCAGAATCCGTAACAAAACCATCATCAACAAATGATTCGACAAGATTTCCTTCCTTGTCGTCATTGATATCAGCAACAAACACTCGGCTACCGTCATCGGGCTGTGGAGAACAACAACAAGTGTAACTGGTTAGTTCATTTGGTGGAGAGTAAAATAGGAGCATTAGCTAATGTACCTTTAAATACAGAAGATCAGGTTATGTTTGTTTCCTCTAATAACGTTCCGTTTATAAAGTTATTTTTCGTCTTTCCCTTTTATCTCTCTAAACAGTTACTGACTGCATTACAACAAATCATCATGAAAGTTCGCACATACAATCTAGCGGATATAAAGTGTATATGTACTGCTAGATGAATTCGTTTGTTTGTTTGTGTTTTAACACCCTATCAACAGCTATTGTCATTTAAGGACGTGCCATATTTTGGTGGTGCAGAAAAGCCGGAGTACCCAAAGAAAAATCACCGACCTGTGGCCCGTATCCTGCGACTGCATCTCGAATGCATCTAACTTGCGACCCAGTGGTTGAGGGCTAGTGATAGCAAAATATCAGACGCCTTAACCACTCGGTCACCGAAGCCCCATTGAGGAACATGCCTACATTTTATCCTTATCATTTGTTTTGATATAATATATCTCTATATTATCTGCTCAGTAAAAAAACAAAACCATTACTTATTTTAAGTTCATTTAGTGTTAATTTTTTTTTCGAATATCTTGATATCAACAAAACTGTATTTCGGACATAAAATTTGATAAAACTAGGGCAAGATATGAACAAATGAAATACATATATGGAAAACCTTGAAACACTACAAGGATAATAAGGCCATGTTGTCTGGAAAAATAAGCGCCTTTCGCTCCATCAATCACGACATCTGACGTAAAAATCAAGATCAAATCCAAGTAATGTCACGTTGTCATTACAAGAACTGGGATTGTAATAACAAACCTAGAATGAGCGTCACTAAAAATCCAAAGAAGTTGCAGAATTCCGAATGAGATGATGAAACTTGTGAATAGTCGTCATCAACCTTCATCTTTGGAAACTCTGTGTTGTAATTTGCTACGAAATTACATGAAATTTAGGGTTAGGGTTAGGGTTAGGGTTGAGGTTTAGGGTTAGGGTTAGGGGTTAGGGTTTAGGGTTAGGGTTAAAAATCCAAAGAAGTTGCAGAATTCCTAATGAGATGATGAAACTTGTGAATAGTCGTCATCAACCTTCATCTTTGGAAACTCTGTGTTGTAAGTTGCTACGAAATATGCAATGTTTTGATATATAAATAATAATGATAATATCTTGTGATATCTTGAAAACACTTATATTAACATTTTATAACTATTCGATGCCAAAACGTTCACGATAATACGGCTATGCTGCAGCTGATTACCATAAAGTGTGCGATGAATACAGATAATGTGCGACTATTATACTGTATATAACATTTGGTTTGCAATTGCATTAGTCAGAAAATGTAAAAATATATAAAAACACGATATGCATATAATTTGATGATAATAACAGTATATGTACATACATCTGTGAAGCCGAAAAAGATGTTGTCTCCCATTTGATTTCCAGTAATTGGTTCAGGGTTTCCTCCTGCCAAACTGAGGGCACCAGACCGGTAGTTTACAGATGTGTAAAAATCGTCGAAATACAATCCTGACAAACTTACTGGCCCAGTAAACTCCAATCCAACCCTAGTTTGGTTGTCACTGGAAACAATACAGAAGTTTCATGTCAAGTTTCGCAGTCAATATATCAACAAGTATAGTATAAATAGTTACAGTAGAAATGTGTTCATGATTACACTAAAAACAGTTACAGTAAACATAGATCTGATTACATTGTCGACGTTTACTGTCAATATGAACATAATGATATCATTGATGATTGCAGTCAATATATATATAATGATATCATTGATGATTGCACACAATATGTACATTATTTAAATATGGACATTTACAGTCAATATGTGTTATATATCTGGAAAATGGTACTTCTTTACCGAATAGTGTATTTTATTTTGAGGAAGAAAAGAACATAACAGAAATATGTACACAAAATAAGCCGTTCAAAATATTGTGATCGACTTCAGTCAAGCAATTAACGTGATGCAGAAACCCAAACAACCTTGTGTATTCGGTCTGAGGGAAATAACTGAACCCACCAGGTTCGCACGCTTATTGTCTGATACATACGAACTGTCTCCCTCTGCTTGGCCGCTCTCACGATCTCCCAGGATAACACTATCCTCTATTGCCTGTTGATACACCTCATTTCTGATTGATCTGTAATTAAAGTCGGATTATTGGTCTATATATATATACGTGTAAATGTACACCAGAACAACATGTTCAAGCTTAAAACAGAAAACGTAAACAAAATTTTTTCTATAAACAAAATAACATGGACCGTTTGTTATGTAAGAAAATATTAATTTTTTATAATTTATTTTGAGACAATTTATACATAAGCAGCAAGTTGATCTTGTAACCAATATAATCTCGCAGATGATGATGATGATGATGATGATGATGATAATGATGAAATGATGATTCTATGATTCTATGATGATGATGATGAAATGATGATTCTATAATGATGATGATGATGGAATAATTATATATGAAAGATGTTGATGACGAAAACAATGATGAATGATGATATGGTCGGCGATGATAATGATGATGATGATGATGATGATGATGATGAATATGACGATATTAGGATGACAATGAAGATGATGTTGTTTTTTTATCACTATGATAATAATGATGATAAATTTTGATAAGGCTAGATCCATTGTCTTTTGCGTATGTGTGAGAATGCGCGAATGTCCTGTTTATGTATATGTATATGTAAAGAAAAACTTAAAAAATATAACATTACACAAAAAAAATCAATAGAATCTCGCAGATCCTTTTTAAACCTAATTGATCACTCCATAAAATAAACCAAAGTTATCCATACATTTCAATTAGCACTTGCCTGTTTATAAGTTGAGGTTATGTAAATCTTCCATTAGGCACTAGACACAAGAGCTTATATTGTTCGTTGTAAAACACAATGTTGAAAATAAATCATTCTGAAAACAAATCTTATCTAAAAGCATGCACGCACGCACACATATTTCTATATTAAAATCTATCGATTAATACATTTGTTTACCGTAATTTCAAAATGTTGTAAAACAAGACTACACATACACTGCTATCGATCAAGGACGAACAACGAAGTTCAATTTGAATTACTTACCTCAATACTTCTATTCCCTTTTTGCTTTTTGCGACCCTAAAAAAAGAATCATTTATACAGGGTTTTAAAAACACAATTGTGTTTCTATGTTTTTAATTCCAATTTACACTTATTTACACTTCTTTTTGTGTTTAACTGATACACTTTCGTTTTGTTGAACTGATATTCTTTCGTTGTGTTTAGCTGATTCTTTTTCGTTGTGTTTAACTGATACACTTTCTTTGTATTTAACTAATATCCTTCGTTGTGTTTAACTGATACACTTTCGTTGTGTTTAACTAATATCCTTCGTTGTGTTTAACTGTTACACTTTCGTTGTGTTTGACTGATACACTGTCGTTAAGTTTAACTTATTAGGTTATATTGTATGTCTTACACAATAGTATTAAGTGTACCGTACTAATAAACTAGACGTCCCATTGTTTTGTCAATGTATATATATGTTTAACATACAAATGATATCAACAAAAGACAACATTCAAATATATTAAGCATAATTGATATTGTAATAATAAATTAGTTTACAAAAAATGATTTCACAACAAAAGGAAAATGAGACAAAGATCACATACCTCTACAATAACCGGAAATGCCGCTAGAATAAAAATGAGCAATGCAAAATATTGCAAGGCAATCGAAACGCCCCCATCTGTTATCATTTCTTTGTTTATCGAGCTGTACACTTATCTATGGATATAGGTCACAGTGACACAATCCTTGTACTCCGCACTCTGTCAGCCAAGACATACTTACATACCAAATATGGTAATTCAAAGTGAAATAGTATAGAAAGTATGCCTTAGACAAAATTATTCAAAGGATATGGTCAAAAATCAAAGCATAGGTCACGGTGACATTCCTTTTTACACGACACTCAGCCATCTCAAGATTTGTTTGCATACCAATTCTGGTTACTCTAAGTGAAATAGTATAGAAGATATGCGCTGCACAATTTTACAACTTTCATAAAAAGAGACATAACTCCGAAAAAATGTCCGGATCGAAATGTATTAGCAGGTGAACAACTTTAGGGTATGTTAATTATTTTAGCGAAGTTTCATCAAAGTCGGCGAAAACATTAGGAGGAGTTGTCCGGACGAAATTGTGTCTACAGACAACCGGGGTGGAAACATGATGTCCAAAGAAAAAAATGAGACGTGAAAAACATCACTTTTAACAAGAAAAAATCCCATTATATCTACATTTTGATGTATATATGTTTTGATTGAAGTAATGGTTAATTTTTTAAATAACGAAGCAAATTGGAAATATTTCTAAACTGTTCACCTGAGTAAAGCATACTAATACTTACGAAAAATTCTTCAATGATAGCCTTGCCGCTCTGATGTAGACATTGGCTTCTTCATTATTGTAGGCTGCAATCACGTTATTAAAGTATTGAATACACATGTACACTCAATCAATTAAGACATAGAACAACGAGGTTATAAGTTACTAGAAACTTATACTAGAAAGTATACTTCCATCCAATTTTACAACACGTCTGCCCCATCAATTGGAAAAAATTTCTTTTTACACGGGTACAACAAATGCATGATTGACTTTCACATTAACGATCACAAAAAGTTCTAAGAATCTCAGCCTTACCACTAGTTAAAGGTTAATGTAAGTTATTGCCCTTGTTGCCTGAGCAACGCATTTGTTTTCTGTATACAAAAGATAATACGAATATACTACAAAAAGGAAAAATAACTGAAACAATTTCTTTGAAGATATGGATATGTTTCCATTTCATACAGAATTTTCAGCAGAGAACTTAACATTGATTTGTCAAGTGCCAGATAAGACTTCATTGAAGAAAATAACTCAACATCTGACTCTCTTTAAATGCTTGACAAAAAGGAATAATTATTTGTTTATCTCATCATGAAATTGTCAAAGAAACAATATGATCAAACAATTAAAAAGTTCAAATCGTATCAGTTTGCAAGACTCATTGGACAAACTGAAGAAAAATGCAGAAAGACTACTAAAATGTTTAAAATATATCCTCGAAATACTCGCAAATTCTAGCCAAATCATGTCAAACTTATATACGGTGTGCTGGATTAAAACTCTTGTTTGAGTTCTTAGTTAACGGAGTCATTTCTTACGTTAAAGGTCTAACACTTGATGCATTTTACGACCACGCTGACAAACTGTTTTCTTAAATGAGTTGTTTTTTTTTAAACAAAAATGGCGACTTGCAGAAAACATCTCTTGAACAGTTTTTCGTTTGAGTTTATACAAACATATAATAATAAATATGACAAAGACCACCGATACTTTCACCAATGATAACTTCAGATAAACAATGTATAAATATGTGAAAGTATTCTAAGTTCCTGTCAATACAAGCAGTCCCAGACGCCGGGAGTGGCTCAAAAGCCGTCAAACACTGTAAACCAGGAGGCTGACTCGAAATGTGTTCTTGGTTACTTAGGTAGTTCATATATAGAGCATTCCTTGACAAATGAAAATCATCATCATTGAAAAGTATTGCCTCATCCCTGCTTCTGGAAGTGAATAAGCAGAGCCCGGACCAAATTATTTATCCAACTCAGATTTAGTTTCTGAGCTTTTTTGTCATAACATCATAACTATTATTTATTTCGTTCCTCGCTAAAATCAATTTTCTTCATCCGTCTCAGAATAATAATTTTAAATTGTGCTTTCTACACTTATTACTTTATAGTGAATACATTGAATTCAACGCAAGTTTGCTCTCGCCCTTTTTGCTTTTGCCGCGGGGTATTGCATCATTAAATTATATTGGGTTCATGTCAATGGGGAATATTCATAAGTAAATTATTTGGACTCACCAGTTACACAGCTGAGTTCAAGTAAGGCTAGATCTGATGTATCGTCTGTCGCAGATACTCGTGGGGCATAATCCTCACCCCACTTCACTTCACCGTCATCGTTCAGGTAGTCCCCGATTCGTATTCCCATCTAAGTGCAATAAGTAAAACAACAAAGAAATTTAAATTTCATCAAAATACATTAACAAATTATGAATGTTCACTCGATGCGAATAATGACGACAACAGGAAGTGAAGTTGCCTCATGATCGTCCATTAAACCGGAAGCGAAACAATAGGTGAGACAGTGAACGTGTGCGGTCTATTATACTGCGGGCTAACGGCCTTTTTATGGAGATTGACTGTGAAGTGATCGTTATTGTCATAATTTGAATAAATATTAAGATATTAATTTGCAGAAAAGGAGTATGTGGTAGCTTCAACTTATGGAGATAAGCACAACGCGATGGCTCTCAAAATTATTGTTATTCGAGAAAAAGATCTATATACATATTTAGGAAATAATCAACGTATGTGCATATGTTATGGTGGAATAAATAACGATCGTGAAAAAATATTGGAAAAATAATTATCGAAAGCCGCTTTCGACCTGAGATGGTTATTAGTTCCAACATTTTCGAATTTCAGATTATATTTTCCAGTACTATCATACACACACTTTCATGTATATCGATTCGTCCAAGAAGTGAAATGTAAGGAGTCTTTTTTTTCTGTCTAACTTGGTGTCTTTACGTCTATGATTAGCAAGGTGATTTAGATGATGTAAGTATAAAAATTAGGCTGTTCTGTTACACTGTCACCTAAACGCTTCGTTCAGCGGAACATTCTGAACGAACTTGATATATTTTAAATAGATCTATAGGTTATCAGAAGCCCTTTTATTTGTCCGCTAACAAATTGTCAAAAACATACAAAACTAAATTCGTGTACCCTCACTCGACAAAGGAAACAAGTCCCGTTACTCGCTTGTTTACATTTGCGTGGGAGGTTTTTGGAAGAGCGTTGATCTGTTGAATAATAAAACATGCACGCACATAGTATATCGTCCTATAATACATCGTTATTAACCAATGAAAAGTGTCGTTGCATCGAAAACTCGGTAGAATTGAAACAATGGTCTTTAATTAAATTAACAATATGACGAGGAATTAAAAATGTAGATAGAGTCATTATTAACAACGGGGAGGGGGGATAAAAGATGGAGCGACACACTTTTGAAATTATCAAGATAGCAAACTAATGAATATATATCACCTTCGCGTTAGAGTGAGCTGTGTTCTTTGTGAATAATTTGAGGTTGGTCTGGAATGTTTGACCTTCTTCCAAATCAGTCTTGCTGGCTGACGGGCCCATCGGGAAATTAGGAAAGGCGAAATGAAACCCATATCCCTTTAAACACATCAAAAATTACATTAATAATGCATAATAAATGTTATGGTGTAGTCATAATAATATGGAAATCCTGATGATGAGAAATTTCTCCAGATGCTATTCTGTAAAATCGACGATAGCCTGCCGCTGAACCTCCACAGGTGTGGCAACATATCTCGATATTTCTCTCAACATATAACTATAAATTATATGCAAAAACCATGATTCATTAATGAACAGTAATGACTTTTGATGATGTAATGCCCTGTTTTTGGGCGGATTGGTCGAGTGGTGAGTTGGCGCTATAGATGATACCGTTGGAAGCACGGCCCCACTACAAACAGAACACATTACATCTCCAGCACACACGCAGTCATACACACTTTGGGAGATATTAGCCAGGTGGCATAGGACTAGTAGTTAGCATAGGACTAGTAGTTAGCAGCCTGATAAGGCAGCTTCTGCGAATTCCTCAAAATTTTATTAATTAATGTATATGCTAATTGTATTAATTGTATATCTATGTACTGCAAAGCGCTTTAGAGTAGCTTATGTTAGCTAGATAGGTCGCTATATGAAATGCTGTATATATTATTATTTACATTGTTTCTTCTAAAATCACGTTTGCCTGTTCCATGCTGTGCGGTAAATAGTGACCTGACAGTTAGTTTCTTTACACAAATATTTTTTTCATTTAATGCTTCTGTAATTTTGCAATGACATTTGCATTCTTTGCTAATTCCTAAGATCGGTATAAAGCATTATTTTGTAACAGGAAAAGGACTCTTTGTACGACAATATGATGCTCTTCGAAGCCAATGCGACTCTTTAGCTTGCCAAATCGTGGTAATTGCTGTACGATACTGCTTTCTATAAATGTCGTGAAATATTCGTTTCCTATAGATCATATTCAGTTGATTAATGAAATACAATTCAATTATGAGTAGGACAAAAATTTGCAGGAATCTCGTGTTGAGTAGAATATAATTTTATGGTTTTGCAAACTGTATATGAAATGTTTGTATAACTATATTTAAAGTATGTATATATATATATATATATATATATATACTATGTATGTAATATGAGCGTGTCTTACCTCTGATGCTACTGCAACATTTCCCTCAAATTCATTGTCGGGGTTGGTAACAAAAAACCCACTCGGATTTCTGTAAAAAAAAAATGTGTGAAATATGAGCTGCAAATTAATAGAGGGAATTGCTTCAATATATATCAACTAACTCTACTTTCGTTACAGGTTGATATGCTTGACTTTTGATTAATTAATTTGTCTAAGTGAACACCATTTCTCTCTAATAATTAACCAAATTTTATGATGGAAGAGGTAGACACTTACTTGTCTGTTGGAATAAGATGAGCTTTATTGGGTAGTCCTGCCTTGCGCTGGAGCGTGGCAAAGTTATGATAAAATCTGTTCCCAACCTCGCCTCCATCTTCAAGGAAGTAACCATGGCCAAGACAATCAAAGCAGACATTGTTTTTAACCTACAAAAATATCGATATATGAATTGATAATCCTAAAGGATTTTGGCGACGAGTTTTCGTATTGCATATTTTATCGTCATATAATTCAATAATACGTGTAATCACCGTGACCCCTCGGTATTCAGATGACGGTCAGGTCAGGTCAGCTCATTCTGGTCAATATGCATATTTTGAGTGCTACCGCACAAAGTCAGGTGGTTTGTGACGTCACAGTGTAGCCTCTTGCGATATCCTATTCATTTCTGACAAGCCTTCAACCAACCATTAACTCCTTATAATTGTGTATAAGGAATATAAACATAAATCGACGAATAAGAAAATCAGTGAAGTTTTACATATAAGCTTAAAATCTATAAGTTTTATATGGTCATTGCTAAAGGGCATACATGATACATACATACCCCACCTGTGAATTAACAGGTAAGCTACATGTATTTGTGAACGCAATGACCAAAGACATGTATAACCTTCCCTTTAACTAACAAAGGGCGCATGGTGGATCGTCTTGTTTCACATTTTTCCAATGTTGAACGAAAGAATGATGTTGCAAGGGTTTAAGTCCATTTCAAGTGAGTTTACCTGTATTTTACATTTTTTATCTGAGGTTAGCCCGACAACTGATTATGTTGATAAGTTAATAACGATATTAGGATTTCTATAGATTCTGATGATCCATTATTTTTGAAGTAATGGTTGTGCTGATGTGACATTTACCGTATTCTCTTAAACATCAATATGAAAGCAGTTATTTGGTAGTTTTTGAACAAAAATAAAATTTCATTGGCGAATTAAATATTTGATGATCTGAAGAGTGGTGGCGCACATTTTGTTTCTCAGAAAAACCTTCTGATTTCATCATATACTTGTCCCCTATGATCACAAATAAATCCAAACTTATTCCAGTTCCTATTTATTAACACTGTATTTTAAAACAAATACAAAACCGGTCATATAGCCTAATTGTTTTTAAAATAGCCGAGTTTAAATTCAGACAATTCTTTTTCATAATGCAATTTTTTGTTTCAAAAGCATAACTAGTAGAAAACTCACTGAAAATGTAGAAATGCATAGAATATAGAAGGGGAAAATACGCGTGTGGCCTTTAATTTGGTACACGATTCTTGTTCGTGACGCTCTAATGTGTGTACTTACCTCTAAGTTATGTGTAAAGTGAGCGACAACACATCGTGCGTACGAGTTGTGGATAGACAGGGAATCAACGACAGCCTTGTCTGTTACATCCCCAGCAAGATGGAAATGGATTGGATAGCGCCCTGTCAATACAACCGAAACATTGAAATCGCAAAACAAATATACCCCAATATAAAATAAACGCAGGAGGAAGATAATGTTATCACTGTCAGGCTCTCGAACTCATAATCTGTGGCACCAAATCGCCTTGCTGAGATACATCCCCAGCTCTGGACATTACGCCGTCGCGTTCTTCTTTAAAAAGATTTCCCCACAATCTTGACATGATTGAGTGCCAGGATTGCAATGTATAGTTATATACGTTGATATCACAGGGACATGATAATTTGTTACAGCTATGTTTGGACCTAAACTAAGGTGTTCAGAGTAATGTTACATGTTTTATGGGTTTCGATCGACTTTCGGTAAAAATGACACCCCAAAGACGATGTATAGGAGAAGGGAGGAAAGCTCTCGATATGGAAATGTCCACCCACCAAAATTTATTGCATCAAAAACAACATTTCTAGTTGATCTACGGGAAAATGCTTAGTATCGTTGGAAAGATAAATATTTTTTTCTTTTAAAAACTTCCTATTCCGTCTTTGCGTATTGCAGAGTTATCTTCTCTTGGGAGCAGGTTTTGATTGTTACGTCACTTGTTTGTGAGAGTAACGTCATCAATTTTTGAGAAAACGACGTAATTTTCTCGCACAAACCAATAACGTAACAATCAATACCTGCTCCTAAGAGAAGATAACTCTGCAATACGCAAAGACAGAATACGCACGTAAAATGTATTCTCCTTCCGCAGACATGAACTCTGTTTCCTCCAAAAAACACGCGCCATTTCAGAGTTTCAAAGTTTTTGCAGTCAGCCTGCCACTTTTTTGAATATTAATGAGGTTGACGTCAGCCGCGTGCCGAGACCCGTAGTATGATTGGCTGGAAGCGCAGCCATTTTTTCGCTAAAGCAACCAACACTGCATGTTTCAGCACGTGCTGACCTCAACCACTTTAATATTCAAAAGAGTGGCAGATTGACTGCGAAAAACCTTTGAAACTCTGAAATGGAGTGTGTTTTTTAACCTTCTATGTCTTTTTTTAAATGGATCTTAGGTTGTGTTTTGCAGGATTCAGGAACAAGATTTGGAAAAAAACCAAAAGTACACCAGATTATTATTATACAATGTATATATATATATATATAATGCCATTTCACGCAATATTATATCAACAATATACCTAAAGATACTGTCACTTAATTCCATTTCCTCCCTAATTTTTACATTTTAATCAAATTCACGTTGTGTTTTTTCGTAAAAAGAATAACCTCTCTTTTGCTTCGTTTTGGACTGAACTGTAATACAGCTTTACTAGGTTATAAAGGTATAAAGTGTTGTGTTCGAATCTAAGTATAGCAGCACTGTATGTTTATACATAAAGGACACTGTTGTTGATTATATTTTATTTTTTATTTTTTTCATGAAAATTCCGCAGGGTATGATTTTTTTAAAAGAAAAGATTTGTCAAAGCTGTAGTCTTGCTGGAAAAAAATGTTTCAAATGTGAAATTAACGTTTTGACAGATACAATGTAATTCCTTGTACATTTTAAAATAACCGGCTACTAGCCGGCCGAAGGGATATGTTTTAACGTCATAAACAAAATTTAGTAGTAAATATGTGATAATATGTAAATGTTCCATGTTTTGTGTGAGAAAAAAAAGTCTGATTACTAAAAAAACGACAAACTTCATTGTCTGCACGATCGTTATAACTTAACTGCATATATGTGACAGGAAAAGGAAAATTCAAAATCAAACGGGATTCAAACCCGGGATCTCTGATCTTTAGACAGAAACTCTTGCCGATTGCGCTTTACTTGGACACCGGCGATCGACCTAGCCTAGTTCCGCCTTTTTTTACTCTGAAGACAATCGAGACCCGATGTCACATACCGAGGGTATAATTTTACGTGTGCGCCAAAGTTGAACAGGAAGGAAAAATGCAACGGCCAGACCGGGATTCGAGCCCGGACCTCTGTATTTAAGAGACGCTCTTACCAATTTAGTCAGTTGTGCTATCACAGCCAAAACACATCTTGTCAGTTACAAAAAGTCTATTGTTTTCCCTTGTTTATAATACAATAAAATTAAGTCTAAATGGGCTGTTTACTGTTATCATTGCTATATTCTTGACACAGATCATTGGGTGATACACATGAAATCATGAATCAACGCGTAAAATAAGAATAAAATATAATTTACCGAGAGGAAAATGTGAACCCATCAAATTCAGCTCAAAGTCAGCAAAGTTACAGCTCGCGAAACCTGCCAGGCACTGTCGGACATAAAAATATGAATCAACAAAACATGTCCGGGTAGACAACGTTCATGAATGTTGTGAATAACACCCCGGCCTTCCACGCAAGCGGCCGGGGTTCGATCCCCGAAATCGTCGTCGTACGGATCGAAATTGAGAGAAAATGTTTTTCTCCTGCCAACACAACTCCAACAACCCAGGTGAGGAACAAATTGGTCCGGGGTGGATTTTGCGGTATCTGTGCTGAAGCAGTCAAAGGTGATGTGGCACTATAAATGATGCCGTTAGAAGGACGTTCCCACTACAAACAGAACACACTACATCTCCAGCACACACGCATGCATACACACATAGGAAGATATTAGCCAGGTGGCACAGTACTAGTTGTCAGCGCATGATAAGGCAGCCACTGCGAATTCTTCAAAAATGTATTGATTAATGTATATGCCAATTGTATTAATTGTATATCTATGTACTTTAAGCGCGTTAGAGTGACTTATGTTAGCTAGATAGGGCGCTACATCAAATGTTTTATATTATTATTTTTATTATTATTAATAATATGCTTCCTATCAAGAATCCCCGTACTACTGCCACAACTCTAACTATGCATCGGGAACCTTGTTTTTGTCATGACTTTAGCTTTGATAATAATTTCTAAAAAAAATCTCGTGATGATAATAAATAAATAGATAAACAAATAAATCAGATAAATAAATAAATGAAAAAAAAAAGTTTTTTTTTTATATATATAAAAGGATAGAGGTAAATATGATATATAAACAAGGGAGAAAAAATATCTAACAATGTATTATGAGTATAAAAGTGATCTTAGGTAGACAAGGATTCGAACCCTGGACCACCGATCAATATACTACTACTTTAACCACCAAAGCTACCTGGTCAACGGCAGCTTCCTAGCCAGTTCCCAGTCGCGTTTAAGTAAAATCGAAAAACGAAATAAGGGGAGGCTACTGTGTATGTAAGAAAAACAATGGTGGCATTTTGTAGTGCAGTGAGACATCGATCCTTACTTACACACATATTAGTTCTCCAATATATTATGTAAGCCATATGTTGGGGGTCAATCCCGTTTTTGTACAATCCTTAACAATGTTTTAAAAGAAAAACAATTCTGGACCTTGAATAGGCCCACCAATTTTATTCTTATAATTGACATTCGTCTGACCTTACTAACTTCTTACCTTAATGTTGCCACCATATTGGTCATCACCAAGGGTCACTCCTTCTACGAGGACGTTGCGGTCAACGAGCGCCACCTCGGCGCACATGGGAACGCCCTTATAAGTTTCACACAAATGATCATATCTGGCGGTCACTGGATATGTATATAAAAACACAGATACATTTATCGAAGTGTTTTGTCAATATTGCACATACACATATACAAAATGGTAACATATCCCTCAAACCAATAACAAGTAATCAAGCAGATATCTCCGAAAGACAATTTCACACTGATTAACATAGCGCTTTACACAGAGTAATCTCCCGAACACTACGTAAGTAATACACTAACTAACCTGATTAAACTGATTAAACAATGATGATTGTCTAATTGGTTTGACTATATAATGAACCAACTCATAAATTAAGAAAACGTATTGCCAAAATAAATTTTCTCATTTGTTCTTTTCATAGGGACCAGATTGATGGTTTAAAAAAAACCCATCCTTGTGTGGGTAAGTGCATATGAATTCATGGATTACTAGTACGAACGAAATTTCTTATGTAACAAAACAGATTCTTTTTTTTTACAGTAAAAGATTTTTCATGTGTATGAGTTTCCCGGAGTATTTTATTTAATCATAACTGCCTTATGAATTAATACTCACGGTCAATCTTGACATGAGTTGCATCAACTAGTTCCGTGATTGTAGCAAATTCAGTTTCTTCATGACTTCCAGTAGACGAGATTAGCAGTCTGGAACCTAAAAACGAAATAAATACCGTTAATAAATAAATTAGTTTTGCGAACAGATAAAAATACAATATACACTTTAAATTATTTTTCAACATTATATACGGTATATGAGTACCTATGATAACGTTATTACATTCTCAGTTATGTGTATTATGATGTGTATGGAATCTCTATAATTACCATATCTGTGGAAGTATAAAGAACATTAAAAGGTTTCATGGTATTGTACATTCTGTTTTGTCGTTGAGATGGGAATCTGGTATACTTCAATTAATAGATAAAATAAAGGGTAATATTAGTATAGAAAGGAGAGACGACGGTATGAGGGTAATATACTTACAAACAGGAGAGATGACGGTATGAGGGTGGTATTAGTATAGACAGGAGAGACGACGGTTATATAATGACAGACAGGAGTGGCAAAGCGATGGGGGTAGTATTAGAACAGACAGGAGTGACGACGGTATGAGGGTGGTTATAGTATAGACAGGAGAGATGACGGAATGAGGGTGGTATTAGTATAGACAGGAAAGATGACGGTATGAGGGTGGTATAAGTAGAGACAAGAGAGATGACGGTATGAGGGTGGTATAAGTATAGACAGGAGAGATGACGGTATGAGGGTGGTATTAGTATAGACAGGAAAGATGACGGTATGAGGGTGGTATAAGTATAGACAGGAGGGACGACGGTATGAGGGTGGTATTAGTATAGACAGGAGATATGACGGTATGAGGGTGGTATAAGTATAGACAGGAGAGATGACGGTATGAGGGTGGTAT